AAGCCTCTTCATGATGCTAATGTGTAGTCAGTTTTGAGAACCATTTACTCATTTGAATTCCTTTAATTTGAGAAAATTAGGACTGAGGTAGTTGGGGGCAATTCTAAGCCATTATCCCTGCACAGAGGTCCATAGTGTCCGATGACCCAGAGCAGTCAACAATGACCAGCAAGTTCTGCTCTTTCCTGCCACGTAGATCTCTCTGGGCCACTGGCCTGCTCCCCTACTTCTTTCCTCTAACTGATTTTACATTTCTAGGTCAGAAATCTCATAAGCTCTAGAATCTCTCTTCTTTCTAACTCCCCAGACTCCTAATTTACACATTCCATAGCTGGGCCGGAGCACAGGGTGCCTTGTCCAGGACCCCCGAGTACGGGACTATGTCCAGGATCCCACTTGCTGTCCCCAGTGCAGGCAGTCTGCTGAACGGAGCTCAAGGGGCCACCACCAGGCCTGTTCAAACTTGGTGCTGTTTTAAAGCTGAAAGTTGGAATATATAAAACTGTACTAGTTATAATTTGAGGAAAGCTAGAAATTTGGGGGTTTTCTTGACCCCTTTTTATTTTGTATGATAAAAGCTAAATCATCATGATGATACAATGGAAGTGGAGTGGTAGATGGGGGGAGTAACTGAGCTGGTGTTGGGGTGCGGCAAGCCGAGGGCCTGGGGCACAAAACCGAGGGAGGTGCTCATTCTCAAGGTCATGCAAGGCCTCTTTCATCTTGGTCCCTAGTCCCCTCAGTTGCCTCACCCTAGACCAGTTTCTGGGGAAGGAAGAGGGAGGGGAGGAGGACCGGAAAAATTCTATTCTAGCTGAAGAGCTAAAGCTAGAAGTTATTCCAAGTTAAATATAGTTGGAATGCTGATATGCCAGTGTCGGGCTCCCTTAGACACCGAGTCTAGCTCAAAGACCAGTGACTTCGCGAGTAGAGCAGCCAAAGCTGGGGGGCCCTGAGGATGCTGGGGCAGTGCCCACTCTTCTTCCTCCTGACTCTGTGCCACCACCTGCTTGTCCAGCCTCAGGGGGTCTCTGGGCGAAGGTGGCTCCTGGAGAGGCAAAGAACAGAGACTCCTCAGAAGGAGCAAATTTAAAAATTTAATTTGTATGTTCCTTTGACTCAAAAAGTAGTTTCAGAAATAAGCCTGAATCCTTAAGTTTTGTGCTGCGCCCAGCATGCAGGTCAGGGTGTGTGATCCATGTGGCAAAGTCTTTCCTCTCATGCATGGAAATGCTCAACCTCTTGGTCCCCTCTGGTCCCAGAGTCCATGATCAGAGCTTTACAGCCTTTGTCCAATGTGACCTGCAAGTCCCTGGGGCAGTTAGCACACACTGAGCCATACTGGGTATTACAGAGAGCTGGAAGGCCTGCCCTGACCGGTCTGCCCTGAACCATCCCTGCAGGCCCATTTGGAATCCCGTCTCTTCTGAGATGCCTGTCTAGGCCTCTCTCAGCCAGAGGGGGCGCTCTTTTTCCTGTCTGCATTTCATCATTAATTACCTGTATTATCATGTGACATTGCCTGTGTTGCTATGTTAAATGATTTAGTGCTTGATATTTGGGAATAGATAAAAGGACATTAGTGGGAAAACTGCTGAAATCTGAATAAAATCTGTAGGTAGTTGACATCTTAGTTTTCACACATGTACCCTGGTTAAATAAGACGTGAACATTAGGGGAAGCTGGGGGAAGGTTATACAGGAGCTCTTTGTGCTGCCTCTGCAAATTTTCTATAAATCGAAAATTATTCCAAAGTTGAAAAAATAGTTTAAAAAATGTAGTAGATACTTTGTCCTGTAGTGAAGTTGAAAGACAGAGGCTTTAGAGTAAGAATCGACACAACCACTTATAAGTTGAGAATTCTTGGGCAACTAGTTTGTTTGGCTATGAAAGGGAGGTAATCCCTCTGTTGTCAGGCTGGCGCAGTAATTATTTCCAAGGTTATAGAACATGGCTGCTCAGTTTGCAGTTTATGGTCAGGTAACTATTTTGTTAGTGGCCAGATAGCTGATCAGATCTTGGAGGACAGTGATGGAGCTGGACACATCACTCTAGACTGGAGGACACTCACATCAGCGGGATTGTGGTGGAGTTTCGATTAGAGTGGTGGTGATTACTGTGTTGCATATAAAATCCCCTGGGGAGCTTTAAGAATACCCAGATGCCTAGGCCACACCCTGGGCCAATAAAATCAGACTCTGAGGGTCTCCAGGTGACTCCTGTGTGCCCCCAAACTGAGAAGTAGATGACTTTCAAAATTCTGTCCACTCTGAAACTTCTGGATAGTGCAAGAATCATGTTTTTGGACTTCAGAATGAGTTTCAATATTGATCAATAATGGGAGCGTTTGGGAATTCAGAATACTCTGAATGAAGTCTGGAAATCTCACATTAAAAGGCTAATATAGGAGGTCTTGGGAAGTTGTGGAATCCCTTCATTCTGATTCCCTTACAACCCTCCTTTACTCTCTGCTCAGCGTGCAGAGCCAGCACGGTTTTCCAGTGGGGAGCATCACCATGTTTCTGAGCCATCTCTTTTCTGGATCGGGAGTAATAATTAAGTGGGCTTCGGTAAGGCAATTGAGAGGAGAATTCAGTGGTCAAGAGAGCTTTTACTAAAACAAATGTGACTATTTAGAAGAGTACCCATACGAGTTGTATGTGTCCATATTATTGGAAAATGCAGAAAAATGAAAAGAATAAACTTTTTAGTCATCTGTAATTTCAATTTTAGAGATATAGACTATTAATATTTTGGTATATTTAATTCCTATTTTTATTTACATAAAAGTGGGATGTTAGGGAATATAAAGTTTTATATCCTGCTTTGCCATTTATTGTTTTGCATTAAATATTGTTGAAATGGCAGTTGATGTGGCTAAATAATATTTTATTATGGTTATTCCATATTGTATTTAACTGATTTTTGTATCATTAAATATTTCTCCTTTTAAAATTTTTCTTTTATAAATTTATTTTTTAAATGGAAATCTTTGTCTAAAATTCATGTAAGATTTCCTTTCTGTTTTTTTGTGTCTGTGTGTGTGTGTGTGTGGTTGAGTCTCCTTCAGGTAACTCAGGGCTTATTTCCATGTATAGCAAAAATCTGCTGTTCATATCGTTTGGGAAAGTTTTGCTTGTTTTCTTAGCGAGGTCTGGAGGCCCTAACAAATACCTACGGCTTCCTTCTATTCATTTCGTGTATTTTGGTATAAAGATTTCATAATTCCTTCCCCACCCTGGTTACTCCCTAGGGCTGTAAGAGAAAAAGGAAAATATTTTTTTAAAGGTACAGAATTGTAGTCCTTGCTTGGCATGTTTCCCCACAAAGCACTGTGTGCTCTTAGGGCTTTGAATAAATAAATGACACAAATACAGATCTCGTGGGGGAAGGGCTCTTGGCTGCTGTTTTTTTTTCTGGGGCCCAATGTAACTGTTTTATTCACGTGTGTATGAATTGAGGCTGGTTTGGTTCTTTAAATTAGGACCAAGTAGAGATGTTTTTGAGTAACTGCACTAGGACCAAGTAGAGACAAGTAGCTACTGATTTTCACATACAACGTGATTTTGGAATTTGAGGAAGAAGCTGATGAAGGGTAAAGGGGAGAAGAAGGGAAAGAAGAACAAATAAAAGCAGGAAATGAAGGGGCAAGGGTCCTAAATAAATGGGGCTCAAGGTAGTGTTCACCCCATTCCTTAAGGATCCTGTTAGAGTGCAGAGCTGATGCAACAGGCCTGGGGCAGGACCAAGGTGCTGCAAGTTCTGACGAGCTCCAGGTGCGCCTCCTGCCGCAGCCCCACGGACCTCCTTGGGACCTATGGCCCCAGCACAGGGGCGGTAGCTTTCTAGAGCCAGAGCAAAGGCACTCGCCATCGCTAATGCTATTCTTACGTGCTGGTTCTCTCTCCCCTGTCACATCCTCGATCACTGACGATGCTTTTATGCTCTCATGTAAAGCTTTACAAAGCTTCCCTCAACATTGCGTGGGGGTCATCTTACTCCCAAAGTCTCTCCAGTAGCTTCTACCTCCCTTCCGCCATGATTTTTGGTTTCTTGATCTCGTTTCTAACCCTTTCCTGGCTTGAATCACTCATTCGCGCGATTCTTCTGTTGTCCTCACTCTACCAAACCTGACTTTATTTCTCTAGAGATCTTAATGCACCCTCTTTGGCCCCCAGATAGTCTCCCAACCTTTTCTTCCTGGTCTCACCTCAGAACAGAATTACAAATTTGCTCATGGTGGATGAGTGTAGATTAGTCTCAATTTATAGCTTTGGGGGACTGCTTTTGCTCAGCTCCCAGACCACTTCTTTACGAAGCAATATTCACCACACTCTGTGGTTTCCAGAAAGTCTGGAGGAAGACCAATGTTTTCCCTAGAATGCAGTTTCTATGCCACTGTGGGAAGCAGGAATTTTCAGACTTGTAGTCAATGACCTTTTAAATTCTATTTGGTTGAAACTAATCCCAAAGGCTGCTGTATAAATACGAATTTTATAAGGCATTTAGCCCAAATGTTTAGTTCTCCTGCCTGAAAGCAGTCATTTGGGTGTGAATCACTGACCACACTTCGTAATGCCTTGACACCATCCCTCCAAACCCACTTGGAACCAGCAAACAGTGATTCAGCTGACAGAGCTGGAGCAAACCTTTCCAGCTCTAACTACGTATTTAACTCCTGAAACCTTAAAGCTGGGTTGGTGAGAACCTCATTAGGTTATTTCATGGTGTGTCAATTAAAAAACAATACAATATTACTCAGAAGTTGACCTCTATACCATTCTATCAAATGGGACACTCCATTAACTGCTTTTCACACCAAGTTATGGTGTAATGGTAAATTATGTTTATGACGATAAGCCGGAAGCACTTGCTGAAGTGCCTTCTGAATCATCAAAGAAAGATGTGATCGCTGCTTAATACTTCTTGGTGTTAAATATATTTGAGCTTTGTTCTTGGGAAATTAATCTTGTGTGCCTAATAAACCCTTCCATTGACAGGTCAATTTCCAGTTTCTCCAGTATTTTAAGCAAGACAACTTCATAACCCGCATTCTAAAGCTGAAGGAATTAAATGACTTGCCCTGAGTCCACAGGAGATGGTAAGTGAAAAAGCCAGGACCCTGGTTCCAAGTCTCCTGTTCTTTATTTGATTACCCAGAACACCTACTTCTCTTAGACTACTAATGAATAAAATCAACAGGGTGTTACCCTGGGTCTACAGTGTGACTGGAAACTGAGGAGACAAATTTGGCTTTACCTCCATGTCCACTCTGACAGAATTTGCATATCCAAAATTCACACGGAAGTTGTCCTTTAAAGTAATCTATCTGGGGATGAAATGCACATATTACTTCATTTTTCTTCGCAACACTGTTTGTAAGTTGAATAGGAAAAAGAAAATGGCTTGTTATTTCAGAGTCCACCAAATTTTAATTCAGTTTGATTCAACAAACACCGGTTGAATACCTGTCCTGTGCCATGCACAGGGCCGGGCACTGGAGGCTGGTGAAGACATGGTCATCTCTGCCTGGAGGGATTTACAGACCTGGAAAACAGGCGAGTCTAATAACATGGTGCTAAGGCTGCTCTAGCGGTTTACAGAGGGAATGGTCAACTGGGGGAGGTAGTTTGTGGGGAAGGAGGAACTGATTCTTAAGGACGGGGAGGCAACTCCAAGGCATAGGAAGGGCAGGGATTATTCCAGGGTGAGGAAAGCTGATGAGTGGTCAGATAGCCTGCTCAACCCAGCTGTTTGCAGTCTGGACATCTACAGGTAAGTGTCTGGAGGTATGTGAAGGGGTAGGGCTGAGCCAGGTCCTGTGTCACCCTGGTGGGCAATGACAGAGCTTATCCTTGGACAAAAGGGATGACAAACAAGGATTTTGGGTCAGCGAGTAGCCATAAGCACAATATTTGGCAATTCTAGCTTTTCACCCTCATGAGGGGGGTCCTCTGATGAGATGTACTTTCTGCTCTCCAGGTTAATAACCAAGCAGTTCTAGTAAAGCCCCTGGGAGCCACTCAGTCAGGGTCTCTGTATGCTCACACCACAATTTTGGTTCCCAATTATATTTGCCTGTTTTAATACCAGACTTGACCTAAATGGTCAACCACGTTACTTTGTAGTCAAGATAAAATACAAACTGTGAATCCCTGTTCCAGAGGCTTAGATATTCTTAAATTGGGGCTGTGCCCATTCTTAGCACTGTAAGAATAGTGAAGTTTAGAGGTAAGTAGGTTGAGTTATGACTTCAGGAGAAAGTCCTTACCTGCTTTCTGACTGGCTACTGAGACAGAAATGTCCTCAGTCTTTGTTCACCCCCAGGGACCTAGGTTTCATCATAGGCTCCTGGAGGGTGAGAAACATCCAGATGCACTTGCAGCCTAAATGGTCTTGGCCATGCCAAGGCCACAGAGGCTTTACTCAAAGCTGCTGCAGCCCCACACCCTAGTAGACAATTCCCTGTCTATGTTCCCGCTTCTGTATTCCCACTTAGCTTCCCTAGTGTCCAATCCAAGCCCCTGAAGCCACTTCTCACCAACTGCCTCTTGGTTTGCAGTCAGCCTGGTTTGGCACGGGGATCTCAAGATAAAACCTCTAGGATTATGCTCCTCTGCATAGGAGCCCTCTGAGGGACATGCCACCCTCATTCAGCCACCCACAGCCAACTTTAGCCTGGTCTAGCAGAGAATAAACATTGCATGTCGTATTTGCAAACTGTAAGATGAGTAACAAAAGCTATCTCACTCTTTGGCCTAATAGCTTAGTATCTTCCTTTTGCTTTTTTGACAATTACCCAGCACATCAGCAAAGTTCGTATAATAAAAAATCATCAGTGTTGTGCATTGTATATACAAAGGATATTTATTTCACAGGCATTCAGGATTCTGCAAACTTTATCACTGCAATCAGTTAAGTTGTTGAAGTAGAAAGTTTTTTTTAAAGGGGCAGCACACTAATTTATAATTTAAAGACTATGCAAATATTATTCTTATCTATCCATGCTCCTATCATTAATATTTTAATTATCTTTGACTTTCCCTTTGAAGGATGAAAATTTTAAAAGTACATGCTTCTACTTGTTTTGACCCTTTTATCTTATGCCTTTCTTATCTTTGCTGATTTAAAAAAATTTTTTTATTAAGGTATTTACACTCTTATGAAGGTTTCACATGAAAAAACAATGTGGTTACTACATTTACCCATATTATCAAGTCCCCACCCATAAGCCAATGCAGTCACTGTCCATCAGTGTAGTAAGATGCCACAGATTCACTGTTTGCCTTCTCTGTAATACACTCTTTTCCCCGTGACCCCCCACACCATGTGTACCAAACATAATACCCCTCAATCCCCATCTCCCTCCCTCCTCACCCGCACTGCCACACTCCACCCCTTTGGTAACTGTTAGTCCCTTCTTGGAGTCTGTGAGTCTGCTGCTATTTTGTTCCTTCAGTTTTACTTCACTGTTATACTCCACAAATAAGGGAAATCATTTGGCACTTGTATTTCTCCACTTGGCTTATTTCACTGCGCTTAATATCCTCCAGCTCCATCCATGTTGTTGCAAATGGTAGGATTTGTTTCTTTCTTATGACCAAATAGTATTCCATTGTGTATATGTACCACCTCTTCTTATCAATTCATCTACTGATAGACACTTAGGTTGCTTCCATATCTTGGCTATTGTAAATAGTACTGCGATAAACATAGGGGTGCATATGTCTTCTTGCGTCTGAGAAGTTGTATTCTTTGGGTAAATTCCAAGGAGTAGACTTCCAGGGTCAAATGATATTTCTATTTTTAGTTTTTTGAGGAACCACCATATTGCTTTCCACAATGGTTGAACTAGCTTACATTCCCACCAGCAGTGTAGGAGGGTTCCCCTTTCTCCGCATCCTTGCCAGCATTTATTGTTCTTAGTCTTTTTGATGCTGGCCATCCTTACTGGTGTGAGGTGATAGCTCATTGTGGTTTTAATTTGCATTTCCTTGATAATTAGTGATGTGGAGCATCTTTTCATGTGTCTGCTGGCCATCTGAATTTCTTCTTTGGAGAACTATCTCTTTGTATCCTCTGCCCATTTTTTAATTGGGTTATTTGCTTTTCGGGTGTTGAGGCATGTGAGTTCTTTATATATTTTGGATGTTAACCCCTTGTCAGATATGTCATTTACAAATATATTCTCCCATATGGTGGGATGCCTTTTTGTTCTGTTGACAGTGTCCTTTGCTGTACAGAAACTTTTTAGTTTGATGTAGTCCCATGTGTTCATTTTTGCTTTTGTTTCCCTTGCTTGAGGAAATGCATTCAGAAGTTGCTCATGCTTATATTCAGGAGATTTTTGCCTATGTTGTCATATAAGAGTTTTATGGTTTCATGACTTACATTCAGGTCTTTGATCCACTTCAAGTTTACTTTTGTGTATGGGGTTAAACAATAATCCAGTTCATTCTCTTGCATGTAGCTGTCCAGTTTTGCCAACATCAGTTGTTGAAGAGGCTGTCATTTCCCCATTGTATGTTCATGGCTCCTTTATTGTATATTAACTGACCATATATGGTTGGGTTTATATCAGGGCTCTCTAGTCTGTTCCATTGGTCTATGGTTCTGTTCTTGTGCCAGTACCAAATTGTCTTGATTACTGTGGCTTTGTAGCAGAGCTTTAAGTTGGGGAGCATAATCCCCCCAGCTTTATTCTTTCTTCTCAGGATTACTTTGGCTATTCAGGGTCTTTTGTGGTTCCATATGAATTTTGAAATGATTTGCTCTAGTTCATTGAAGAATGCTGTTGGTATTTTGATAGGGGTTGCATTGAATATATAGACTGCTCTAGGCAGGATGGCCAGTTTGACAATATTAATTCTTCTTACCCATGAGCACGGGATGTATTTCCATTTATTGGTATGTTCTTTAATTTCTCTTAGTAGTGTCTTGTAGTTTTCACTTCCTTGGTTAGATTTATTCCTAGGTATTTTATTCTTTTTGATGCAACCATGAATGGAATTGTTTTCCTGATTTCTATTTCCGCTAGTTCATCGTTAGTGTATAGGAATGCAACAGATTTCTGTGCATTAATTTTGTATCCCGCAACTTTACTGAATTCAGATATTTGATCTAGTAGTTTTAGAGTGGATTCTTTAGGGTTTTTTATGTACAATATCATGTCATCTGCAAACAGGGACAGTTTACCTTCTTCCTTGCCAATCTGGATGCCTTTTATTTCTTTGTGTTGTCAAATTTCCATGGCTAGGACCTCCAGTACTATGTTGAATAGAAGTGGGGAGACTGGGCATCCTTGTCTTGTTCCTGATCTTAAAGGAAAAGCTTTCAGCTTCTTGCTGTTAAGTATGATGTTGGCTGTGGGTTTGTCATATATATTTTTGTGTTGAGGTACTTGCCCTCAATACCCATTTTGTTGAGAATTTCTATCATGAATGAATGTTGAATTTTGTCAAATGCTTTTTCAGCATCTGTGGAGATGATAATGTAGTTTTTGTCCTTCTTTTTTTTTGATGTGGTGGATGGTGTTGATAGATTTTTCGAATGTTGTATCATTCTTGCATCCCTGGCATAAATCCTACTTGATCATGATGGATGATCTTTTTGATATATTTTTGAATTCGGTTTGCTAATATTTTGTTGAGTATTTTTGGATCCATGTTCGTCAGGGATATTGGTCTGTAATTTTCTTTTTTTGTGGTGTCTTTGCCTGGTTTTGGTATTAGAATGATGCTGCTCTCATAGAATGAGTTTAGAAGTATTCCCTCCTCTTCTATTTTTTGGAAACTTTAAGGAGGATGGGTATTAGGTCTTCACTAAATGTTTGATAAAATTCAGCAGTGAAACCATCTGATCCACAGGTTTTGTTCTTAGGTAGTTTTTTGATTAACAGTTCAATTTCATTGCTGGTAATTGGTCTGTTTAGATTTTCTGTTTCTTCCTTGATCAGCCTTGGAAGGTTGTATTTTTCTAGAAAGTTGTCCATTTCTTCTAGGTTATCCAGTTTGTTGGCATATAATTTTTCTTAGTATTTTCTAATACTTCTTTGTATTTCTCTGGTGTCTGTATTGATCTTTCCTTTCTCATTTCTGATTCTGTTTATGTGTGTAGATTCTCTTTTTTTCTTGATACATCTGGCTAGGGATATATCTATTTTGTTTATTTTCTTGAAGAACCAGCTCCTGCTTTCATTGATTCTTTCTATTGTTTTATTCTTCTTGATTTTATTTATTTCTGCTCTACTCTTTATTATGTCCCTCCTTCTACTGACTTTGCACCTCATTTGTTCTTCTTTTTCTGGTTTGGTTAATTGTGAGTTTAGAGTGTTCATATGGCATTGTTCTTCTTTCCTGAGGTAGGCCTGTATTGCAATATACTTTCCTCTTAGCATGGCCTTCACTGCATCCCACAAATTTTGTTGTGTTAAATTATTGTTGTCATTGGTCTCCATGTATTGCTTGATCTCTGTTTTCATTTGGTCATTGATCCATTGGTTATTTAGGAGCATGTTGTGAAGCCTCCATGTGTTTGTGGGATTTTTCATTT